TAGAGAGCGTTCTGACCAGCTGTCTTACTGTGTGGTGTGGAGGCTGCAGCGCCTCAGACTGGAAGAAGCAGAGATCATCATCCCTCCATAAAAGACATTCCATCCGAGCGCTGAGCATCATTATCAATGACCCCTCACACCCCCACCATGGACTCCCTGCTGCCCTCTGAGAAGAAGCTTTGAAGCCTCTGATGAAGGTCCAGCAGATTCCAAAACAGTTTCTTCCCCACCAACATCAGACAGCTGAACTGTTGAGAAAACTCTAAATAATGTCACCGACTCTGCATCACACTGATAACACCAAACCAAAATTCTGCATATTTTCCCCATATATATTTAATGCTTTGAACTTCCATATCAATGCCATTCCGTAAAAATTCAAAAAAATATCCACTGGACTTTGTTTCCAAGTTTTGAAGATATGGATATTTTTTTGAATTTTTACGGAATGACTATGACCTAGATGACTGGGAACCTTCATCAGCATATTCCATATCAATGCTTTTTTTTACAACATTTTTTTTCTCCCACACTGTTGACATTTGATCACTGCTGCACTTTCTGGAAATGTCATAAAAGATTTACAAAACAAAATTTTGTATATAAAAGTTGCCTTAGTCTTATTGCTGAGTGGTTCATAATAAACAAACCTCAGCGGTAAAATTGTAACTGGAGAAAATGAGACAGTAGAGCAAAACAAGCATTATCATGATGGAAGAAATTGATCCAAAACTAGACCGTATTGATTTATTTCTGAAATATGCAATAAGAAAGGGCTACCATGCTATATTCTATTTGCTAAGATGGAGTAATTAGTTTTGGTAGGATCTCTTCATTAGTTTTTGCTGTTGTTTTGTTTTGAGCGACATTCAGTTCACACTTCTCACCACTTGGTGGCGGTAATTTACCGTTAAGCCGTTAAACTAGAAGAACAGGAGGAATAGTAATTAAAGTCAGCATTACATAGAGAAAAAATAGGATTTTCAACGATAAACCTTTTAGAAAGTAAATCTAATTATGCAAGAAATCAGTTAATTATATATATTTTTTAAAAACACTGGATTATTTAATTGTATTGAAAGTAAGAATATAAGTGTGTGTATGCATGTGCATTTGCACACATACTAATATATATGTGAATTTGTATGGGTATATATTGATAGATAATATGCAGATTCGTGCATACCGTTGAGGTATGTATTAATAACTTCCCTCTGACGTCATTGATGATCACACTCCAGGCTGGTAGGTGATGGTAAATGTACCTTAAGCTGGTTGCCAAACGCCAGTAAAAAACTTTTACATTTTTTTTATTAATTTATTCAAAGAATTGCCTTTAAAAAACGAAATTTATAGAAAGAATATAAGATTCATTAACTAAATTATCATATTTTTTTGTGGGAGAATTTATGTACAGCATCCGATCCACACTACATTCCAGTAGATGGCGGTAAATGCGCATGAATAAGTTGCTTGCCAACCGACATAAAAAAAGAAGAAGAAGGAAAAAACAAGAAGAAGAAGAGGTGGGGAAGTTGTATGTAAACAAACGGGTTTCGTATTCTAAACCGGTGTTAACATTATTAATGCGCTTATTTTGATGAATTTAGAGGAATGTAGCTGACAGATAGAGATGGGGGACAATCAGTGGGAGGATGGCGGTGGAGGAGGAGACTCGAACTGGATGTCTCGTCTCCCGGAGGAGCTGCTGGACGTCCCGCTGTGGAACCTGGCCATTCCCGGTAACAGCATCTCCTTAAATAAAACATCCAGAAGTTGTTTTAATGTTAATATTAAGCATCTAACTGTAACAGGAAGCCATGACAGCATGTCATTCTGTCTGGATCTATCCTCCCCGGTGCTCGGATCGGAGCCCTTCCTCCTCAGACTGACCGACCGACTCCTGCCCTGCTGGGTCCGGCCCTGCGTTTACCGCTGGTCCACCACGCAGGTACACGGTATTATTATTATTTTAATGCAGAGGATTTATCCCCCTAAAAAATAAACAAATGTTTAAAATACGTGAAAATGAGTAAAAACGGAGGATCGCTATTATTTTATTTCATCTTTGTTTTTAACAGTTAACATTACTCCATTCTTGAAGGGTCTTTGTTTAATTAAATGATCCGTTTGGCCAACATGTGTTTGATGCAGCAATCTGTCCTCTGGTATCAATGTGAGCTCGGTGTTCGCTTTTTGGACCTGCGGATCGCCAAGAAGCCAGCAGGGGGCAGCACGTTGTTCTTCGCTCATGGAATCTACACCCTGGTGACCGTCACGGTGAGTAAAGCTTAGGAAACTGAGCCCAAACCCAAGGGTGGAACTTTGGCTGTGTTCGAATTCATGAGCTGCGTCCTCCAGGGACGCGGGTCTACCTGGACTGGATCCTTTCAAGTCCTTGAAAATAAGGAGGCCGGAAGAGTTTGGCTGTGAATTCCAACAGGTCCAGCCTTCCAAGGCTTTTACCGCCCTACTCTGTCGCCTAGCAACCGTGACAGCTGACACACAAAGCAGGAAAAGAATAAACATTAACTTTTCAAAGCTGTTTGTTGTTATTTATTTATTTTTTTAATTGTAAAGTGAACAAATAGAATCCAGAGTGGAATAAAGATAACAACCACAGGAAGCATGAACAAATAAAATCAAATGTAATGATGGAGACCTTTTAGTCAGTTAAATAACATGCTGCTGTCATTTTGCACATCTCTGATGTTGCTGCTATTTTCAAATATCCATTACTATAAAAATGTCCACAGCTGCATATTGGTTATTTATTTTCCAGGTGCACTGTTTTATATTGTTAACACACTTTACAGTGCAGGATTTTGTTTATCTTTTAACTCTTCCCTATTATGTTATAGTTCCATATTTGTGTGACCATTTTTTTTTGTTTGTTTTGCTGCTGTAAACACCAGAATTTCCCCATTGTGGGACAATAAAGGGATTTCCTATTCTATTCTATAAAAGGGGAAGGAAGATATAAGTAAATCTAAACAATGTATGTATAAAAATATATCTCTTATATTCAACAACAAACAAATACTTAGTCAAGCAAATTGTGCAGATTAGCAATTAAAAAGAACTTAGAATCTGTCCTTAAATTACAGCCAAACCCATTTACACAGTAACAGATAAAAACCTTTAGATAAATCAAACATTACTGCCACATATATGACTCCACAACCATTAAAACTATTTTTATTAATTTCAGACGGGGCGGAACTTTTCACATACTTGGATTATATTAAACTGACCTTCCAATATTCACCACTGTTTGGTGCCAAGTACCTTTTTCCTCTGATCACAGAGCAGCCGGCTTGTTTGGAACCGCAATGAATCCTGGGAAAACCAAGGATAGAGAGGGTACATCGGACCCGTCCTTCAAATCAGGCAAAAAGAAGGACGCATTTTAAGGCCGCACAACGAGGACTCTTGGAATCTGACCAGACCTCGGCGCCGCGCTATGACGTAATTGGCCTTAGAATCTGGCCTTCGGAGGACACAGCCCATGAATTCGAACAGAGCCTTTGTGATGAAAGTTGGTGGGGGCGCTCTAAGGGTGGGGGTTGATGGACCTACAGTTACTCAACCCAAATGCTGTCATTGGGTTTTTATATTTTCCAAAAAATGAGTTCAAATA